CTAAGCCACGGGGCCGGCACAGGAAATGCAAATTAAAACCACAAAAGAAATCATTTCACACCCATTGGGATAACTATTATCGGAAGAATGGAATAGCAAGTCGAGGATGTAAAGAAGAAAAAACTGGAACCCTCATACATTGCTGCAAAATTGTGCAGCCAGCGTGGACCAGTATGGCAGTTCCTCAAAATGTTAAACATAGAATTACCATATGATCCAGCAATTCCACTCCGAGGTATTTACTCAAAGGAACTGAAAGCAGGCACTCAAACAGATATGTATATACCAATATTCATAGCAGTATTATTCATAATTGCCAACAGGTAGAAACAACTGAAGTCTACCAACAGATGAATGGATAAACAAAATGTCATATATGCATATAATGGAATACAATTCAGCCATAAAAACGAATGAAATACTGATACTACAACATGGATGAACTTTGAAAAACATTATACTAAATGAAATAAGCCAGACACAAAAGGACAAATATTGTATAATTCCACTTATATGAGGTACCTAGAATAGACAAATTAGCAGAGACAAAGTAGAATAGTGGTTACCAGGGGCTGGGGGGAGGGGAGATGGGGAGTTTTTGTTCAGTGGGTACAGAGTTTCTGTTTGGGATGATGAAAACTTCTGGAAACAGATAGTGGTGATGGTTGCACAACATTGTGAAGGTACTTAATGCCAATGAATTGTAGATTTAAAAGTGGCTAAAATGGCACATTTTATGTTGTGTGTATTTTACCACAATAAAAAATTTCAATCATAAACCTTATCTAGAAATCTGTCCAAATTTAAGTTCAATATTATTTCTGTTGTACTGCTTGTTATTATTATTTAAGGTATAGATTCAAGTAGTGGATCTAACCAGAAAAATGGTGGCATAGCATGGTTAAGAAGTCAGGTGGAGAGACCTGGGTTACAATACTGGGTCTACAACTAGCTAGCTTACTACATACTTAAAACAAGGCCTGACAGGTAAAAGGTCATAATAAATGTTGCAGTTAGCTGCCATTGTTATTAGTTTTTATTCTCATATAAAAACCATATGGAAAAGAGCAATGCATTTTATTACAGAAAAAATTTAAAACCTTGGTACATCAAATAAATGAACATTGGAAAACAAATATGTAGGGAAATTACTTGCATCAGTTATGATTAAGAGTCAATATCTCTAATATGTAGACCTAAAACCAAAAGATGAGAGAGCATGGAGGTAGAGAGGCAGCAGGAAGGCTGCTCTCAAGAGGCCACATCTGAACCAAGAATGAAAGATGAATTGCAGCTGCAGTGAGTGCTCTGGGTGGAGACGACAGCAAACGCAAAGGCCAGAACACAGCAGGAACTGGGCAGTTTGAGGAACACAGGAGAGCAGACCTGTGAGCCTGGGAAAGAGAACCAGGGCAGAGTGACAGATAAGGTTGAAGAGGCAGACAAAAGCCAGATCTCACAGGCCTAGTAAGAAGATGCGACTGTGATTCTAACCTCAAAGGGAAGCCATGTAAGCAGGAAAACGACATGATCCAGTTTACTGTGCAAAAGACCATTCTGCTTGCTACGTGGAGAAAGGATGGAGTAGGAAAGCAGAGTGGAAGCAGGGAGCAGCTGGAAAACTATTTGTATAATTTCAGTAAGCGCCAATGTAGCTTAGATTCAAGATAGAAGCAGTGGCAATAGAAAAATGTGTACAAATTCAGGTTGCACGGGCTAAAAGGAGAGAAAATATTTAACTGCTTCATTAACCAAAAAAAAAGCAAATTAAAATTACAAAATTTCCCCTATCAGATTAGCAAACGTTAATAATGGATAATATCAATCTGATGAATATGTAGCTGCAGAAGGCACTCATAAACATCTAAAAAGCAATTGCTGGGCCGGCCACGTGGCATAGTGGTTAAGCTCGGCATGCTCTGCTTCAGCTGCCCAGGTTCACAGGTTCAGATCCCAGGCGCGGACCTACACCACTTGTCAGCCACACTGTGGCCGCAACCTACACACAATATAGAGGCAGACTGGCACAGATGTTAGCTCAGGGCTAATCTTCCTCAAGCAAAAAAAGAAAAAAAACAGAGGAAGATTGGCAACAGATGTTAGCTAACAGCATATCTTCCTCAGCAAAAAAAAAAAAAAGCAATTTGCTATATTATCTACCAAAAGCCTTAAAAAATTCTCATGATTTTTTACTTAGTAACTAGCACATAGTAAGTCTTTTATTGTTGAATGAATTAATTCAACTTTTAGAAAACATGCTTAAAGAGACACTCAAGGATGTAATTATAGCACATTTATCCTTGCAAAAAACTGAAGAACAATCTAATGTTCAACATTTAAGGAGTGGTTGAATTACAGCTTATGATAAAGTACTAAGCAACCTTTAAAATCATGTTCTTTAAGGGGTTTCAAGATATGGGGAAAAAAACGCTCACATTATACCTTACAAAATTAACTAAGAGAGTAATAGTACTAGAGTCTTCTTTTCATGCCAGTAGGTTTTGACATGAGAACTGAACATAGAAAGCCAGCAAATAATTGGTAAGCAGTAAAAATTTAGGGGCCAGCCCAGTGGCATAATGGTTAAGCATTCTCTGCTTTGGCAGCCGGGTTCACAGGTTTGGATTCCAGGTGCAGATCTATGCACTGCTTATCAAGCCATGCT